AAAAAAAAAAAAAAAAAAAAAAAAAAAACAAGCCATCAAAAAAATCTGAAAAAAAGATATGTTATGGAGAAAAATACATTAAATAAGATTTGCCTGAGCATTACGTCCGAATTCCTTACCAAATTTGAATTTAAAATAAAATACACAGAACAAATTCTAATAACAAAAATAAATAAAAATAAAAAGAGAATTAAATTTAGTGAGTGCGTGAGCATGTTTTCGACACCGCCGTCTTTGGAGATTTTTCATATTTTTTTGGCATAGCTAAATGCCCTGAAAATTTACAGATGTGTACTTCACATAATACAAAACCCACTAAAAAAGTTAAAAAAAAATAATAAAATTGTCTAGACCCAGAACTAAAGTGAAAACAAAAAGTCAAAAGTGAGAAAAAACGTGGGCAAGCACGTTTTGACACCGCCATCTTTGGCGATTTTTCATTCTTATTTGGCTAAGCCAAATGACTTAAAACTTTATAGGCCTGTACCTCACGTCACAGAGAACTCATAAAAATAAATTCAGAAAAAAAAGAAATTCCAGGCCCCGAAATAGTTTTTGGCGGGGGCCGAACGCTGTCGGGTTCGGGCCCCGTACGGGACCCCGAACGCCTGAACGTACGGAGGTCCGCTCGGGGGCCTCCGTACGTACGGGCTGGTAACCCTGTATCTATATATAAATAAATCGTCAAATATATATATATATATATATATATATATACAGGGTCACCGACGTTCGGGACGGGCCGAACGCCCGAACCCAAACGCCCGAACGTACGGGACCCGTCCGACTGGCGTTCGACCCGAACGCGACGTTCGGGGGAGCGCTGTGCCCGCACAGATGTTTTTTTTTTTTTTTTTAAACAGGGGCGTGTTTGCGGAGGTCGCCACCCCGTGCCTGTGCGGCTTTAAAAAGTGAAAAAAAAAAATCAAATTTCTCTCCCCCCCCCCCACAATCAGCGAAGAAACCAACCTATAGGCAGGGGAGAATAAACCGGTGCTCTCACATTTTCAGGGAGTGTTGCTCAGTCAATTTTTTAAGGGAGTGATCCTCACTCATCCATTGTTTGAAGAGTGTCAAATGTGAACATATTCATCCCCCAAAACAAGCACAACAGCAGTATTAACAGCCCTACTGTTATCCTCCAAGCACTGAAAACACTATGAGCATTGTAGAGTATATGAACTTGACAAAAGCAAACACAGCAGAGGATGTGAGGGAGGGAGGGAGGGAGGGAGCGAGGGAGGGAAAGAAACCTGCAGGTACGCAGGCAGAATAAGGCCAAGGTCAAGGGCAAGTCCTTTCTTGTGAATTTTTTTTTTAAGGGACTGTTCCTCATTCATAGATGCAGAGGATGTGAACAACTTCACCCCCAGAGAAAACACACACACACACACACACACACACACACACATACGCACAGAGAGAGTATAGTATTTAACAGGCCTGGTCCTTAACTCACTCAGAAATACAAGGAAGGAGCATATGAACTTCATTTGATATCTGTGTTGTCTTCCTCCAGCGATAAAAAAAAAAAGTGGGCACGTGAGGCTTTGCTGACATTGCCTTGTCAGGGAAGCACCTCAAGCACATGGTTGTGACCCTGGCAACAATGTGAAAACAACAATGAGGACATGGGCCAGTAAACCGTAGGCAGAGAGAGAGAAGAGGACAACAAACAGAAAGTACAGTAAGGACATGGGCCTAGGTCAGTTGATAAGGCACAGAAGCTGCAATGAGGAGGTCGTGGGTTCAATCCCTAATACAGGCATCACGTATGTGCCTGGGCAAGCTTGGTGCTGTACCATCTAGAGATAACCAGTTGGCCCCCCAAGCCAGAGTTGGCAGGACCTTGGATCTAAGTCCTACCGAGACTAGAACTGACATGACATTTCATGGTACAACATGCATGTAAGAAGAGAAGGGACACGGGACTGTTGGACTCCGTGAGAGTACAGAACAAAACAAGGACAGACCTTCCTTGCACCGTATCAGATAGCTCAGCGGAATGCCAGAATACCAATGCTAAACCAATCAATGTCGAAGTTCATACTCAACGTTCAACATCATCATTGTGAGGTGAGNCATACGCACAGAGAGAGTATAGTATTTAACAGGCCTGGTCCTTAACTCACTCAGAAATACAAGGAAGGAGCATATGAACTTCATTTGATATCTGTGTTGTCTTCCTCCAGCGATAAAAAAAAAAAGTGGGCACGTGAGGCTTTGCTGACATTGCCTTGTCAGGGAAGCACCTCAAGCACATGGTTGTGACCCTGGCAACAATGTGAAAACAACAATGAGGACATGGGCCAGTAAACCGTAGGCAGAGAGAGAGAAGAGGACAACAAACAGAAAGTACAGTAAGGACATGGGCCTAGGTCAGTTGATAAGGCACAGAAGCTGCAATGAGGAGGTCGTGGGTTCAATCCCTAATACAGGCATCACGTATGTGCCTGGGCAAGCTTGGTGCTGTACCATCTAGAGATAACCAGTTGGCCCCCCAAGCCAGAGTTGGCAGGACCTTGGATCTAAGTCCTACCGAGACTAGAACTGACATGACATTTCATGGTACAACATGCATGTAAGAAGAGAAGGGACACGGGACTGTTGGACTCCGTGAGAGTACAGAACAAAACAAGGACAGACCTTCCTTGCACCGTATCAGATAGCTCAGCGGAATGCCAGAATACCAATGCTAAACCAATCAATGTCGAAGTTCATACTCAACGTTCAACATCATCATTGTGAGGTGAGACAGGCCTGGCACCATACACACAAGTGCGCCAGGACCCAACCATACACAGATGAAGAGGGGGGGAAGGAAGAGACGAAGAAGAGATGGGAATGACAATCGGTTGGAGTTGCAAGACATCACCCTGCCGCCCCCATGCTCCAAGCATTCCTGTTATGATTCTGGTTGCTCGCTGTCTAAACACCAACACTCACATACATAGACTTCCAGGTATGCCCATACATACACAGAAGGAAGGGGAGAGGATAGGAGTATCACACCGGATGGGGAGAGATAAACACCGCGGAAGACAGGGTACACTGAAAGTGCAGTTCACTCCACTCAATCCTAACAACCAGTCACGGAGGGAAGCCGAGTAGACCACATCCATGAAACAACGAAACGATGATAGTCCAAACCCAGCATCACACTGTATATTAGACTCAGAGTCTCAATTTGTCAGGACAACCTCAGAAGGGCCTGAAACATGGTCTGGCGCCCTGATTTCGTTCACCTGCACATGGACTGGCAGACTGATTCGGACACATCAAGCGCCACCCAGTTACAGCCTCTAGAGGGCAGCGCCACCCGGCTTGAGGCTACGGGACTGCCTATTAGCTTAGGCCCATGTGGCTTGTCTGTCCTAGGGTAGCCCATGTCTGCTATCCACAGTTACAAATCTCTCCTACTATAGTACAGCCTCGATAGAGAGAGGCTACATGCAACCAGAAATCAGCAAGTCACACACACACAGACACACACACACACACACACACAACATACACTGCACACACTGCACACACCTGAACACAAAACGAAAAAATGTACAAAACTATCCTGACATGTCACCCTCTTCCGCTGCAATGTCTGCATCGGCCTCTGCCTCCTCCTCGTCCACCTCAACACCCCCCTCGAAATCCGGGTCGCCTGATGATGCCGCTGTGCTCGAGCCTGATGTGGCCGCGGATGCTTGTGCTGCCCCCGTCGTCGCCTCTCCCTTGCGCCGCCTGGTGATGCGCAATGCTATGCCCTCCTCCTCCTCGGTGCTCGATGATGTGACCGGCACTGCGTCCACATGAACGTCTCTTCCATCTGCGGGGGCTCTCCTCCGTGGTACACCGCCCCCTCGTGTCGTGGCACGTCCCTCTCCTCTCCCCCGTCCTGGTGGTCGGCCTCTGGACGTCCCTCTCCTCTCCCACGCCCCACTCCTCTCCCGCGTCCCGCTGCAGACATAACCCTTTCGCCCGCACCCCTCCCCTCTACCAATGGTCGGCCTCTGCCTCTGCCACAACCTGCAACTCCCCTTGCCTCCTGTCTGTTGACACTCTCTGCCTTTCTCTTGCGACCAACAAATGGTCGAATCGGCTCGGTGATGATTAAGGGGTCTCTCGGCAGCAATGGCATCGTCGCCCGTGCGCCAGAAACTACAGGGGGAACTGCATGGCGAAGCCCAGTACCTGGGGAGTCGTGCTCCCGTATGCCGCTGCTCTGGGCACTGGCACCCTGTGTGTTCATCTCGGGAGGCGGCTGCAGTCCGCGGCCTGCGATGCCCAGTGCCAAAGAAGGATCTGGGCGTGGCAACGGGAGCGAGGGAGAAACGCGTGCGGTGCCACAATCCACCCCGTGACGTGAGTGCATCCCCTGTCGAAGTGTGCCTCGTCCCTGTTTCCCAGGGTACCCCTCTAATGCCTCCTCGATCTCCTCCGCCGAGTAACCGGTCGCCGCCAGGTCGCGCGCGAGATCCTCTCTCTCTACGCCTCCCTCTCCCGCAGTGGCCTCCCCAACCGCAGCCTCCCCAACAACGGGCTCTCCACATTCCTCGTCGCCGGTCTCCGCATCAGGGGCAACTCGCGGCAGATCCGACAACGGTCTYGRCAAKTACGCCGCTAAATCMCTCTCAACATCATGGCATACAGYCGATGCTGCCCACAAGTCTAGCGGACCGGTGAAACCCGATCGTCGTCTGAGCCGCCCCTCGGAGTCGTACTCCACTGCACGGTGGGGGCTGGAAAAGGTGGCAGCAGGCACGGCGGGGGACTCGGCTGACGTGCCCTCAACAGTACCTGTCGCGGAAGACGGCTGCAACGTGTCCTCGAGGGCTGCCGGGGTCGAAGATCGTGTAGCGGGCTCCCTCGGCTGGTGGGACTCGTGGGGTGTGGCGGTATGTGCATCGACCTGCAACCGCCTCCCCCCCCCCCCCGTGCCGTCATCTGCGCCAGCGCCGGCCGACACGTCAGGAAACTCGTCTCCACGAAGGTTGTGCGAGTCTGCCTCACATGCAGATGTGCCAGCAAGGGGGGCCTCGTCACCGCGAAGGCTGGCGCGTGGCGGGAGCATCCAACCTGCAGGGCTCACGGTGGCAGGGGCCTTGACATCCAAAAACCCATCCCCTCGATAAGGTCCCGACAACCACGACACGTCGTCGTCAATCACATCCTCTTTGCGGATCGCGTCTTCGCCCTGCTGGCGAGTTTGATGAGCCAGTGCTGCAGCGGCCCGCGCCAAGCGTCTGCCCCTCGACTGCCTCCTAAGGCGATCGGCCTCCATCTCGATCTCGGCCGGGTCGTATGTCCCCGGGGCCATCACGTCCGGCTCGAAACGGGAGTAGTCCTCTGCCCTCCTCTCCACATCAGTCAATCCGACCCCTGGGAGGCCTGCCCCTATGAACCCGCCGCGCGCGTGGCTGCTCTGGAGAAGCTTAAGGTTCCAGTGACAGAACACAAGCTTCTCCAACTGCTCGACGCCCGGCCTGTTGCGCCTCTTTGTGTGCACGAAGTCGTGCGTGGACCAGTTCCTCTCACAGGGAGAGGCAGTGGTCCACGCACCCAAGCAGCACATGGCGACATCTCGCAGTACCCAATGATCACGCCCCTGAACCCTCCACCACCTCACGGGATCAAAGTCGGGCTGCTCGATCTCTGCATCTCCGACGGGTCCCCCCCAATGACCAGGTGTGGGATACTTGCCATGGAAGTCCTGCAAAGAACTCCACACGACAGTCATCTCGTTGCCCTCTCGGCCTCCCGCGATCTGGCTCGCGATGTAATCAAGCGCATTCTCCACGAGAATGCGCTCCTGCACCGTCCCTCGCATCAAGGTGTCAATGTTGCGGTACTTGGGGTGTAACAGGTACGTAGCGCAATGAATGGGGGTGAGGAGCATTTCTGACCTCTACTTGACTATCTCCTTTATGGGCTGGTGACAAGCCTCATCAAGAGATAGTCGATCTACGGTGATCCGCAGCCTCTCCAGCAGACCCCACACGTCGCCGACCCTACGCCCGTCAGAATCAACCTGCTGGAGGAACTCCTGAATGGGGCCCATAATGGTGGCAACCAGATCCACCTGCTGCCACCACTTTGGGTCGCGGAGAAGGTCAAAGCACCTGCGTGCGCCATCCCTCAATGCGGGGAGCCATGCAGTCATCGCCCAAGCACTGCTGCTAACAAAGGCATCCAAAAATGAATGCAACTCCAACATGCGCCTCAGCATGATCAAGTTGGTCCCGTAGCGCGTCTCCCCCGGGCGGATCAAGGACACAGGAGGAGACTGCCGACTCAAGAGGTACGCTGCCCGTGCGTGCCGCCGAAAAAACAAAGTGATATCTCGCCCTTCCACGACGACCTGCGCAACCCATGGCTGTCTGGCGATGTGCATGAGCATCAAATTGCAGAAGTGTGCGTGCGCAAGGGATCCATGGCGTGTGCATGCGCAAGGGATCCAAGCGATCTTTCGCAATGAAAGATCCTGGTCATTACGGAGCAAACGGTAAGCCTCCTTGTTGGCCAACGCATTGTCCGTACATATCGMYACCACATGCTGARCGCCGRTCKCCARAATGAGYTCCCTCCATCTGAGGTATAKACSTGCTCCGGTCCGCTCCCTACCGAACATATCCTCAACACGGTACAGGGATGCACCCAACCTCCCTGCAACCAAGTAGTTGCAGAGAGGGCGGTTGGCCTGAGTCGACCAGCCGTCCGTTATGAAAGTGACCCCCTCTGACCACGACTCTCGGTGATACCGCAAACGCTCATCGAGCTCCGCGTACAACAGGGACAACAGAGTCGTGCGCAGTAACTCAGACCCCGGGTGGTGCGGTCGGTACGGACCCTTGAACTGAGTGAGGTAGACGTCGTGTAGAGCCAAATACCACTCTGATCTAGCGACGTTGAACGGGATACCACAACCCACGAAGAATCTGATGTATGCCATGTCGAGGTCGTACTGGATGGGGTGCTCGACCCAACCGTTGAGACGAGTCTGGGTCACTCTGGGCACTCGGTGGCGAGCCTGTCTCCGCTCCACAGAGTCTGTCGCCAGCCCTTCCTCAAGGTCGGCAGGGACATGTATGCCCTCGTCTCTCGCTCGCTGGAGCATCCTCTCCCTCCACCACTGCCGCTCGTCCTGCGGACCGCTAGCAGCCCCATCAGGCACACACCGTCCCCTCCCTAGCTGCAAATGTGAAGCACCATGCGGCCTCTTCCCCACCGGATCAAACAGTCTCGCCCTTGCGTGCTCTGCACGCTCTTTCTCTTCCCCTACTCCTTCTACCCCTGACGGGCCCTCCCCTGCTCCACGCGAGCCCTCTCCTGCTCCCTCTACCCTTGACGCGCCCTCTCCTGCTCCCTCTCCCCCTCCACTAGACGTGCCCACTGCTCCAGAGGCGCCCACTCCCTCGAAGGGGCGCGCTCCGTCCTGCCGTACCACCGGTGCCGGACCTTCTCGGTCTGCCTTCCCTCATTCCCGTGCCAAATCACGCGCGGGGACCAGGGGGGGCTGTCGTGCCACACCGCCAGGCAATCTCCAGTTGAGGGGATGCTCGAAATCGAGCTCACCCTCCCTGTCAGCCTCCCGCACATAGACAGGGAGCGAACCCTTCAGGGCTATGCCCGCCCTTTGCAACTCCCTAAGAATGCACACGCACACGTGCGGGCACCTGTCATGCTCGCTTGCGGTGTTGAAATGCGAGGCTGCCTTGGTCTGGTTGCCGACCCACCGGTGACCACACAATCTGCATCGTAGCTCGTGATTGCCCTTCGGATCCGCTCCCGAAGGGCTCATCCACACCTGCCCCTTCTGCACGTACTTCCAGATGACGTGCTTCGGTCGAGGGTCATTCTCGAAGTCTTCATTAGGCACGAACTCCGGCCTGTGCGCCATGTTGGCGCTCCCTCCGCGCCCCCCTCTGCCCACCCAGCCCTACAAGCCTGCAACCTGGCATGTGCGATCAAAGAAACACAGGAATTGACAACGACGTATGCTCCCCACAAACGTGACTGAACCGATGCCGACGAAATGCAGAACAGACCTGCACGATCAATCAACCGATCAACAAATCAATGATTTTTGACTGAATTGATTCATTGATTGATTGATTGATTGATTGATTGATTGATTGATCGATTGATTCATTAATTCATTGGTTCATTGTTTGTTCGATTGATTGATTGATTGATTGATTGATTGATTGATTGAAGATTGATTGATCCATTGATTGATTGAGTAGTCGATTGATTGATTGATTGAAGATTGATTGATGCGTTCATTGATTGAGTAGTCGATTGATCGATTGATTGATTGATTGATTGATTGATTGATTGATCGATTGATTGATGGATGGATTGATTGATTGAATGATTGATTAGTCGATCGATCAAACAACCAGTGTGAGGAACGATGATAGTTCAAACCAGCGTTGGCAGATCAAACAACCGACGTCATTGATTGATTGATTGATTGATTGATTGATTGATTGATTGATGGATGGATGGATGTATTGATTGATTGATTGATTGATTGATTGAAGATTGATCGATTGATTGATTGATTGATTAGTCAATCAATCAATCAATCGATTAATCAACCAATCAGACAACCAACGTGAGGAGCGGAGACAGTTTAAACCAGCGTTGCTAGATTCATTCATCAGTCGATTGACTGATCAATTGATTGATTGGTTGATTGATCGATTGATTGATTGATTGATTGATTGATTGATTGATTGATTGATTGATTGATTGATTGATTGATTGATTGATTGATTGATGCATTTGTAGATCCATTCATCAGTTGATTGACTGATTGATTGAACGAGATCGTCAACGTACTGATCTGTCTTTCGGTCGTGACTGGTTCATGGATTCCCTCGTTTCGCAGGCAATCGAAGAACACGAGAAACGTCGTGATTGATTGATTGATTGGTTGATTTGCATTTATCGAACAAATCATTAGCAAGACTAGCATGTGGAGGGACATGTTTGACAACTTGCTTTCCAAATTGACAAGCAGGGCATGTACGCAATGCATTCGCCTTATCGAAGTGCTTTTGAGAGCTCTCTATGGATTGGGCATTGAAAGGTTGTCTAGGCTGGTGCGAATTCTGTCCGATGCAGTGAAAAGTTGGTTGTTTCAAGCCCATCTCTCTCTCTCTCTCTCTCTCTCTCTCTCTCTCTCTCTCTCTCTCTCTCTCTCTCTCTCTCTCTCTCTCTCTCTCTCTCTCTCTC